TTAAAAATAACCCTTGTATAAATACAAGTGATTATGACAAATGATGTAAAAATGGCATTCATGATGTCTGAAACAAGCCTAAATAGAATTCAAGATTAAACTAAATGATTTTCACTGGGCACATTCAAGGTTTTACATTCTATGATTGAAAAAAAATTTGTTTTGAAAACTTTATTTCATATTCTTTCCTGTAGGATTTTGCTACAGATAACTTTGGGAATGAATAAAGTGGAATGGTAACTTTTCAGTGGTTCAGAATTGAATTAGACTTCTTGTGATTGTGATGTTTGGTTTCCATTCAAATATATGAAGTGAGATGTCATATCCTGAATATAGTTTCTCTTCCCCAATTACTGATAGCATGTCTGTCAGCCAGTAAAGATTAAGAACAGAGTTTCTCTAAATTCCTCTCATTATTCCACTAAGGCACATTAAAATAATTTTGGGAAACCAGACATCACAGATTTTTCCATGAAGTCCTAAATCTTCTTTAAAGTTAGAATAGGTATCTTAGTTACTGACAGTATTCAGGTTTTTTCCTCCCTTGGTGATATGTCATTGCATCAGTGAAAAAACATATTTCTCCCAGGGGTAAGAAAGGTATTCTGGTAATACATTATCATCAATCCTTAAACAGTAACAGTGTTGGTACTTATCATAAAACCGACTCATCTCTTAAAACCAGAAAGATTATCTTAGACTGTCCTTCACCTTATACTTACTGCCTTGTAAGAGTAAGAGTTGCTCACTGTGTTTATTTGCTGTTCTCCATATTCTCTGTTGCACCATTGGTGTATAATGTTGAGTTTCATTGAATATTATTTGAAGTATTACAGAAGGCAGCTTGCTTCTTAATCTATGCATCTTTGGGGTTTCTGAAGAAATTTAATTCTTTGATGTAAAAAGGAACGGTTAAAAGAGTTGGAAACTCTGCACCTGTGTATATATATATTTTTAGCAATAAAGCAGCATGGGCTGAGAATGCACTGAAATCTCATTGCGTGTCGTTACTTGAAATGGGTAATTTTAAATAATGCAGTACATGCTGACGATGGGAGAAGGAGTCTTTCCAAAGACCTGTGCCAAAGTACTCTTCAGATGTCAAAGAACAAAGGACCAGGTTATTTGAGACATAGTTGTAGCAGTTTCCAGTGTGTTGTACAATGGAACAGGCAGCCATTCAAACCTCAATATGTAATGTTGCTTTTATAGCCATAGTTTTGGAATACTTTTTCCAACATATATGTAATTGCCTTTATTTTGTGTCTCTATGTGTGTATCCACATACGTGGAGTTTAATAGTATTCATTGAGCACCAACTATGTGATAAGCACTGCTCTAATTACATCAGATGCATTAATTAACTCTAATTTAATGCTCACTACAGCACTATAGTTTTTATCCCTATTTTACATAGAAGGAACTTAAAACAGATACATTGTTCCAGTTCATGGCTAGTAAGTACCCAAGCCACAGTTTGGTTCCAGAGCCTTCTCACTTACCAGGATGCTATATTGTGCCTCAAAAAAATAGAAAGGGAAGAAGTATACTTTCACTCTGTATTTTGTCTCACATCTCTTTTTTCTAGAGTGAGCATGTAATCTGAAAAAAAATCTATTTAAAGCTAGCCAGTTTAATTTGATGTAAAGGTCAAGCATTTAATTTTTTTTTTTTTTTTTTAGACAGAGTCTCGCTCTGTCGCCCAGCCTGGAGTGCAGTGGTGCGATCTTGGCTCACTGCAAGCTCCACCTCCCGGGTTCATGCCATTCTCCTGCCTCAACCTGCCAAGTAGCTGAGACTACAGGTGCCCATAACCATACCTGGCTAATTTTTTTCTTCCCTGTGTTTTTAATAGAGGGGTTTCACCGTGTTAGCCAGGATGGTCTCGATCTCCTGACCTCATGATCTGCCCGCCTCGGCCTCCCAAAGTGCTGGGATTACAGGCGTGAGCCACAGCACCTGGTCCAAATATTCCTATGTAAGAAAAGTTTAAAGAAAGGAAATATATTGAGGTGAACATACCCACACATATATTTAAAAACTCCTGGATGAGATGGGTGTGGTGGTTCATGCCTGTAATCCCAGCACTTTGGGAGGCCAAGGCAGGTGGATCACCTGAGGGCAGGAGTTCAAGACCAGCCTGGCCAACATGGTGAAACCTCGTCGCTACTAAAAATACAAAAACTAGCCAGGCATGGTGGCGGGCGCCTGTAATCCCAGCTACGCGGGAGGCTGAGGTAGGAGAATTGGGCAGAGGTTGTGGTGAGCCAAGATCGTGCCATTGTACTCCAGCCTGGGCGACAGAGTGAGACTCCTATCTCAAAAACTTAAAAAAATTTTAAAAACAAACGAAAACCAAGGATGACTCACTGTGGTATTTATTAGGTCTTTTTTTTTTTTTGGAGACAGAGTCTCGCTCTGTCACCCAGGCTGGCGTGCAGTAGCATGATCTTGGCTCACCACAACCTCTGCCTCCCAGGTTCAAGCAATTCTCCTGCCTCAGCCTCCCCAGTAGCTGGGACTACAGACGCACGCCACCATGCGTCAGCTAGTTTTTTTTTTTTTTTTTATTTTTTTAAGACGGAAGTGTCGCTGCGCGCTCTGTCACCCACAAGGCTGGAGCGGGCAGTGGCCGGACTCAGGCTTCACTCGCAAGCTCCACCTCCCAGCGCTCACCACCATTCTCCTGCCTCAGCCTCCCGGAGTAGCCTGGGACTAGAGGCACCTGCCACCGAGGACCCAGCTAGGTTTTCTTTTTTGTATTTTTTTTAGTTAGAGACGGGGTTTCACTCGTGCTAGCAGGATGGTCGTCGAATCATCCTAGACCTTGTGATCGCCACGCTCTCGGCCTCGCCAAAAGTGCATGGGATTTACAGGCTTGAGCCAACAGCACGCCTAACTTGGTGTTTTAGTAGACGGGGTTTCACTGGTTGGGCAGGCTGCTCATCGAACTACGCTGAACCTCGGTAATCCGACACCACCTCCAGCCTCTCAAAGTGTGGTATTACGCGTGAGCCACGCCCCTGGCTGTATATTAGTCTTACTTAAAAGTAAAAGTTTTTATTGTGCTGGTTTTTGCCAGAAAGCGTCAACCTTGCCTTATAGGACCAATTTTTGCCAACTCTACACATAATCAGACCTGGCACAATGGCTCACAGCCTGTAATTCCAACACTTCAGGAGGCTGAAATGACAGGATCCCTTGAGCCCAGTTTGAGCTCATAGCAGGCCTTGTTCTCTACAATTTTTTTTTTTTTTTTATAATTAGCCAGGCGTGGTGACACAAACCTGTGGTGCCAGCTATTCATGATACAGTTGGGAGGATCACTTGAGACCAGGAAGTCGAGGCTGCAGTGGGCCATGTTCACACCTCTGCACTCAGGCCTGGGTGACAGAGTGAGACCCTGTCTCACCACCCTCCCCTCAAAAAAAGCATAAGCAGGCCAGGCACAGTGCTCACACCTGTTATCCTAGCAGTTTAGGAGGCCAAGGCGGGTGAATCTGCCTGAGCTCAGGAGTTTGAGATCACCCTGGGCAACATGGTGAAACCCCATCTCTACTAAAATAAAAATCAGCCGGGTGTGGCGGCATGCACCTATAATCCCAGCTACTCAGGAGGCTGAAACAGAAGAATCGCTTCAACACCCAGGAGATGGCAGCTGCAGAGATTAGGCCACTGCACTCCAGCCTCGGCAACAGAGCGAGACTCCATCTCGAAAAAATAGAAAAAATATTCTGCTATTATTAGCTTCTGTATCCTCCACCACTCGGATATGTAATTTCTTGACTGTGCTAGTGCCAAAGGCTCTCCTTAGTGGTCTGCTTGCGGCCCTTCCCACCTGTTTTCCACAGGACAACCACAGTGACATTCTGAAAAAGTAAATTTGATTAGGCAGGCCTTCTTTTAAGGACCTCATAGGGCCTTTGTATATATGCCATCCTTTATTAATTCCTATTCATCTTTCAGACCACTGCTGAAACTTCACTTCTACTTCTACTACAGAGGCTTTCTTTCCCTGAACCCCAGACCAGATCAGTTACCTGCTTTATGTGCATGTATCCCTATGTTCCTTTACTTTAAAACCCTTACTAGAGTCATAATGTTACGTATCTTTTTTTTTTTTTTAAGATGGAGTCTCGGTCGGGCGCGGTGGCTCAAGCCTGTAATCCCAGCACTTTGGGAGGCCGAGACGGGCGGATCACGAGGTCAGAAGATCGAGACCATCCTGGCTAACACGGTGAAACCCTGTCTCTACTAAAACATACAAAAAATTAGCCTGGCGAGGTGGCGGGCGCCTGTAGTCCCACCTACTCGGGAGGCTGAGGCAGGAGAATGGCGTAAACCTGGGAGACGGAGCTTGCAGTGAGCTGAGATCCGGCCACTGCACTCCAGCCTGGGCGACAGAGCGAGACTCCGTCTAAAAAAAAAAAAAAAAAGATGGAGTCTCACTCTGTCCCCCAGGCTGGAGTGCAAGTGGCACGATCTCAGCTCGCTGCAGCCTCCACCTGCTGGGTTAAAGCAATTCTCCTGCCTCAGCTTCCTGAGTAGCTGGGATTACAGGTGCACATCACCATGCTTGGCTAATTTTTCTAATTTTTGTATTTTTAGTAGAGACAAGGTTTCACCACGTTGGCTAGGCTGGTCTTGAACTCCTGAACTCAAGTGATCCACCCGCCTCGGCCTCTGAAAATGCTGGAATTACAGATGGGAGCCACCGCACCAGGCCTGTAATTTTACATATCTTCATGTGATTATTTGAATGTCTGTCTCTGACTAGATTATAAACTCTAAGGATAACAGCGTGTCTGTTTTTGCTTACCTTTTATCCCCAGCACCTAGCCTAATACTTTACAAATATTTATTAAATTAATATTTTGATAAGTTACTCGAAGTGCTACATAAAACAAAATTAGAGAAAACAGTACTTTGGTGACTGATGTTTTATCATTCCTTTCATTATTCCTCTGTTAACCTCAGTTTACAACCGAAAAAGAGACAAATTGTATATTATTCAGGCAGTTTATTAAACATTACCTATAGAATATTATGATCTGTATTTTACATAAGTTAAAAAATGATTTATTAATATTCATAACAACTGCTCCATTCAGGAGTACTAGAACTCAACATTAAGCCCAACTCTATTTTCAGACCAACCATGCAACTTTAGATCAGAGGACACATGGGACTTTGCATCTTAATTCCTAAATTTACAGTCAAAGACATCTTCAGAAATAAGTATTATGAATTCAATCAGAATCTAAGTTCTTAAGGCAAATAGCTATAAAACAGAAGAATCCTTAGTTTCTCATCTTCTAAAAACAGCTTCACAAATCATTTGGACAATCAGCCTAATCGTAGATAGAAACTGCATTTCCCAAAGCCAGTCTTTTTGAGAAATGACTAAACAGCACTTGTTGTTGAAGACAGCAATAAAGCCTGAACCTGACACTCAAGCTTTTGTACAAGATCAGTTTTCTGGCTTGGACTGGTCAGGAGTCACTTCACTCAGAATCTTCATTAGTGATTTTAAGCGAGTGTGCGTTAGCACTATCTTCTCTTTCAGCTAGGAAGAAAAATAGACATATATATATATCAGGGCTTCTTTTTTTATTTTTATTTAAGAGACAGGGTCTCACTCTGTTGCCTGAGCTAGAGTACAGTGGCACAATCATAGCTCACTGCAGCCTCAAGCTCCTGGGCTCAAGTGATCCTCCTACTTCAGCCTCCCGCTAGGACTACAGTCATGTGTTTTAAATTTTCTTTGTAGAGATGGGGTCTTGCTTTGTTGCCCAGGCTGGTGTTGAACTCCTGGCCGTCAGTGATCCTCCTGCCTTGGCCTCCCAAAGTGCTGGAATGACAGATATGAGCCACCACACCCAGCTGGATATCTGGGCATCTTAAGCTTAACTATCAATTTGCTGGTCATAAACACCATTTCAAATTTAAGCTAGTTTATATCTAGTAATTGGGAGCTGGCGATGTGTAAATGCATTTGAGGAATAAATTTCTTCTAATTCTAGAACTTTACACAACAACCTAGTGCAAAATAAGATCCTCAGATGTGGCCGGGCGCGGTGGCTCACGCCTGTAGTCCCAGCACTTTGGGAGGCTGAGTTGGGCAGATCACGAGGTCAGGAGATACAGACCATTGTGGCTAACACAGTGAAACCCCGTCTCTACCAAAAATACAAAAACAAAATTAGCTGGGCGCAGTGGCGGGCGCCTGTAGTCCCAGCTACTCAGGAGGCTGAGGCAGGAGAATGGCGTGAACCCGGGAGGTGGAGCTTGCAGTGAGCTGAGATTGTGCCACTGCACTCCAGCCTGGGCGACGGAGCAAAGACGCGGACCGTCTCAAAAAAAAAAAAAAAAAAAAAAAAAAAAAACAGAAACAAAAGATCCTCAGATGTAAAGTTTCATGGAAAAAAAGACAAAACATTGCTGAGCAGCCCTGCTACTGTGAAGATGAATAACATGTGGTCACAGAGCTTTATGGAGAGTCTTCTTTTCCAATGGTGAGAATTTAGCTTTTCTTTTAACCCTTTGTTAACAGTAACAAATGCCTCTCTGATTTTAATATTCTACTAATGGTCTGCAAAGTTAACTCTGGTTATTAGGTTTAGAACAGACAACTGTTGCAATTAGATAATTTTTAAGAGTTCTTACACCTTAGAACAGCTATATTTAGAACAAAATTAAGTGGTGTTACTCAGCAGGGCAAGAGCAGTGGCTTCTGATAATCTCCATTTGCCCCTCCCAGCATGGGATTTCCACCCTACAAGCAAGCTGGGGGCAAGGGCAACTGGATTCCCAGCTACTGGGGAGGCTGAGGCAGGAGAAGCACTTGAACCTGGCACTCACACCTGTAATCCCAGCACTTTGGTAGGATCACGTGAGGTCGGGAGTTCGAGAACAGCCTAGCCAACATTTTTAGTAGAGATGGTGAAACCCCATCTCTACTAAAAAATACAAAAATTAGCTGGGCATGGTGGTGCGCGCCTGTAGGCCCAGCTACTCAGGAGGCTGAGGTGGGAGAATTGCTTGAACCTGGGAGGCGTGGGGGTTGCAGTGACCTGAGACTATGCCACTGCATTCCAGCTGGAAGGCAGAGTAAGACTCTGTCTCAAAACTAAATAAATGTTTCTCTATTTGCCATATACCTTGAGAAAAATTTCCAGAGACTTAAGATGGTTGTTTCATTTTTTTTAATTTATTTTTTTGTTGTTGTTGAGGCGGAGTCTCGCTCTGTCGCCCAGGCTGGAGTGCAGTGGCCGGATCTCAGCTCACTGCAACAGCTCTTGCTCCCAAGGTTCCCATCTCCCCTGCTCAGCCAAGTAGCTGGGCCTACAGGCGCCCGGCTGCCATTGCCCCGCTAAATTTTTTGCATTTTAAGTAAGCAGATGGGGTTTCCACCGTGATTAGCCAGGATGGGTCTTCAATCTCCTGACCTCATGATCCCGCCCCGCTCGGCGTCCAAGTGCGTGGGATCTACGGGTGGTGAGCCACCGCCGCCCGGCTGTGTTTTCCTTTCTAAATATTCTTCCTGGGATCCTACTCCCATGAAACTCCTGATCACTCCCATTCAAGTCATCTTCCCATACCAGATTATCTACTTCATTATTATAGTTTGAGACCAGATCTCTTCACTGTACCACCTAGGCTAGAGTGCAGTGGCGTGATCTGGCTTACTGCACTCTGCCGCCCGGGTTCACAAAGCATTCCTCCTGCTTCAGCCTCTTGGAGCTAGCAGGGCTGGGATTTACAGGCTGCACTGCCACTTAGGCGCCTGGCCTAACTTTCTTGTAGTTTTTCACTAAGCAAAGACGAGGGTTCTGCACTATCGTTGGCCCACAGCTGGTCTTTGTTTTTTTTTTTTTTTTTTTTGTTGCAGGCGCGAGTTCTCCTCTGTCGGGCCAGGCTGGAGTCGCACGTGGCGGATCCTCAGCTCACTCGCAACCGCCAGTTTACCATTCTCCTGCCTCAAGCTCCGCAGAGCTGGATACAGGCGCCGCACCTCGCCCGGCCTCCAGATTTCTTTGGTATTTTTAGTAAGAACGGGGTTTCACCTGTGTCAGCCAGGGATGGTCTTGATTCCCTGACCTTGCTACTCGCCCCATCTCGCCCTCGCCAAACGTCCTCGCATTACCAGCGCTTGACCACCAGTGCCCGGCCCAGCCAGCTGGTCCTTGAACTCTACGCTCGGTGGACTGCCACCAGCCCTTGCGCCTTCTCAAAGCTGCTGGGAATTCACAGTGTGACGCCACCGCCGCCCCGGCCAGCTCAATGAATGTGCTTTCGTCTGGGTCCGCTTTTTTGTTCAGATGGGAGTCTCTTTGCTCTCAATGTGAGATTCTTGGTCACCATAACCTCGTCCCTCACGGTCCAAGGTGAACTTCTCTGCCTCAGCTCCCTGATAGCTCGGATGTACAGGCATCGTGCCCAACCACCAGCAATTTGTCACTCTCCTCTCTAGTAAACGACAGGGTTCTCTCATGCGTTCTCAGGCTGGGTCTCGACTGTGACCTTCAGGTCGGGAGACTCCTGCCCCGCCTCAGCCTCCCAAGTGCTGGGATTATAGGCCGTGAGCCACCACACCAGCTTGTTTGTTTTGCAGACGGATATTCCTTTTGTTGCTCAGGCTATATGCAATCACAGTCTCGCCTCACCAAACCTCTGCCTCCGGAGTTTCAAGCACTTCTCCTGTCCTCAGCCTCTCCCCAGTAGCATGGGATTCAGGCATGCGCCACCACGCCTGGCTGAATTTTGTATATTTGTCAATAGAGATGCGTAATTCTTCCATGTTGGTAAAGGCTGGTCTCCGAACTCCTGATCTCAGAATTATCCTGTCCGCCTCAGCCTCCCCAAAGTGCTTAGGAATTACAGCCAATGAGCCGCAGTGTTCCGGCCAACTGAATTGGCCTTTTTTTTGAGACGGAGTCCGCCTCCTGTCCGCCAGGCTGAGTGCAGTGGCGCAGAGATCACTCGATCTCACTGCAACCTCCCGCCCAACCCAGGTTCAAGCGATTCTCCTGCCCCTCAGCCTCCTGAGTTAGTAGGCATTACAGGTGCCTGCCACCATGCCCCCAGTAAATTTTTTTTTTTTTAGACGGAACTCCTCACTCTGTTGCCCAGGCTTGAGTGCAGTGAACGTGATCTTGGCTCACTGCAACCTCCACCTCCCAGTTCAAGCGATTCTCCTACCTCCACCCTCCCAAGTAGCTGGGACTACAGGCATATGGCCATCACGGCCAGGCTAATTTTTTGTATTTTTAATAGAGATGGGTTTTCACTGTATTAGCCAGCATGGTCTCAATCTCCTGCACCTCACGATCTGCTCACCTTGGCCTTCCAAAGTGCTGGGATTACAGGCGTGAGCCACCACGCCCGACCAAGAATTCTTAATAACTGTTTCTTCACTCTTACAACTGAGACAGTTGAGCAATTACAAGGTGTTTGCAAGGAAGACAGCTCTATGGCAAGATGATGATATCCATTCCCAGCACAAAGGAAAACACAGGAGTGCAGCAGTTGGGCAGCTTTTCCTTTCTTCCTGAACTACACCTTACAGTGTGGTTTTAGTATTTTGCTTTTCGTTACAAATTCGATAGGGAAGGTCAAACCAAGTATAAAGGATTACTGAGCATCATCCTATTTCATCATCCCCAAGTCCATTGGTAGAAGTTATCAAGAGTTGTCTGTATTTTAAAAAAGTATACAACTATCATGAAATTTTACCTCTGCAATCTTTTCTGATAGAGATACATTGTGAATATCCATCTCTGATGCATTTACTATGGCTTTTGTTTTTAAGAGATAGCTAGATAGGAAAAAAGAGAAAATATTAGTGTCATACCATGGTTAAGATTATAAATGAACCAAACTTGCCTTCTAAAGAAAATGTGTGTCAAAAAAAGCCTTCTTACTGATTTTCACTTCAAGACTCATGATGTTACAGTTGGCCCACTATATCCATGGGTACAGCATCGGATTCGAACAACCACAGACTAAAAATATTTGGGGAAAAAAACTGGATTGTGTCTGTATTGAACAGGTACAGACTTTTTCTTGTCATCATTCCCTTAACAATACAACAACTTTGTACATTTCCTATGCATACTTGTAATGTACATAGCATTTACATTACATTAGCTGTCATAAATAATCTGGAGATTATTTTAAAGTATAAAATATGTACTTTTATACTTTAAAAAGGAGGATATCCAAAAGTAATATGCAAATATTATACCATTTAATATCAGAAACTTGAGTGTCCATGGATTTTGCTATCTGGTGGGGTCCTCAAACCACGGATACTGAAGGATGACTGCATTTCCTTGGAAAAACAAATTCAAAAATAAACAAATCGGAGAGGATCTCTGCCTCATCCTACCAGAGACAAAATTATCTCATGGTAAACTAAAGACAAAAACCAGGCTCATATGAATAATTATGATGATTATAAGCTTTACACTTCATCAGTGGGATCCTGTAGCACAGTTTGAAGGAAAGTAATCCCAGTGTGAGACAAAGTGTTGGTCACCTATTCCCAGTAGCTATTCCCCACTTTTTTTTTTT